TTCCCTACCTCCTCTGGCCCCCCATCAGTATAGTATACACTGTCTTCATCAACACAATCTAATTAAAGTACTTATGACACAGAAGATTCCAGAGATAAGAAACCAAACTAAGAACCCCCTTCAGGACTTAGCTCTGTCCATGGAAGCTGTTTTACACATTCAGAAAAGGACCCAAACCCACTGGGACATGGATTAGCCAGATCAAATGCACAGAGTTACTGAGCATGGTGTGAGTGATGGGGAAGGTGAGCGTGGGTCTGCCCGTCATCCGCCAGCAGGTGCACAGGTAGGCCAGCTCGATCCTCAGCATCTCCACGATCATCTCGTTGTCCAAGGCCAGGTAGAAGTGATGCTGGTCGGTGAACTGGAATTCAGGACAGGTCAGGTCAAAAGCCACCCTACATGGACCTCGAAACACCATCAGCTGTCACTCAGGGCAGCACTGATCCTGGTTTTGTGGCCAGAGAAGAGGCTCAGGGCTGGCTTCAGTCTACCCAAGCATGGTGTTGCTTCCTCGAGATGGGACAAATCAACCTGTCAGCTGCCCAGGGAAAGTGCACTGCTAGGTCTATTTGTAGCTCTTCAGGTGGGGTTCCAGCACCTTACCCAGCATGGCTCTCTCTGGATGCAGATCAGCAACTCCTATTTCCTCCTCCTTCCAGGTTACTGGGTTTGGAGAGCTTTTCATTGAGGGTACCAAGAGCAAGTGAGATGTGGGGACTCTGTTTACCTGACTGGTGACCGGTTAATGTCAATCTAATTGCTCTCTTGGCCTCTGGGCTGGTGCACACTCAGCTCTGGTATGAAATTTGTCACTAAGGGAAATGACTCAAGACCTAAGTGAGCAGCATGGCTACAAGGAAAACCGGTGTCTTGGTGTTGCTGCGAACCGTGTGCCCAGGTAAGTGACCACTGTGGCCCAAGCTGACAAAGTATCCCTGACCTGGTGGTCTTTCTAGTTGCCCAAATGGATTGAAAGCACCTGATGTGTGGTTGGTTCCATGGAACAAGTTCTCTTTGGAAACAAAAGCTCTGAAGATGAGTTTCATTATCTGTATATTCAGTATCCTGGTAACGGGGTTGGGGCCTGAAAGTCGGACTACCTGCATGTGTTATAGGGGGCTGGTGACAGCCTACTCAAGGGTTGGGGACTATAGCGAATAGGGGCACAAGAGCTGTGAGTTAACCGACATGTCACTAGTAAATTTCTAAAGCAGTGTGAATTCACTAATATTCATGACTGGGAGTGATGGCACACTCGATTCAACTCAATCCATTTACTGAGCACCTACTATGTGCAAAGAATTGTACTAGGAACCAGTATCATTACATATGTCTCTGTCTGAACTTAGGCATGCAAAACTGCTCTGTATTCAAAGTGGAACAGCTTACCAGACAGAAAAGATAACTTATTAAAAGGATGTGTGGGGGCCAGCAGGTGGCATGGTGGTTAAGGCACTGGACTCCCACCCAGCTGCCCGCGGTTCAAGTCTCAGACCTGGCAGCTTAAAAATCACTCTGGGCATGTATGCGTGCATGCCCAAAGTCCCAAGAGGAGAATTGAAGAGAAGGGACTGTGGCATAGCCATCTACCCCTGGGGGGGTTATTTCTCACTTTCCCTCTCTCTGGCTCTCTCCAGTGAGCACATGTGCCCTATAGCAAAAACCTAAATAAATTTAAAAAGAGATAGGCTGGTTTGCTAATGGCCTGCTTGTCTCACCTGGGGTGTAAAAGTGAAGATCTGGTTCCTAATCACATACAGTTTAGAGGTCCCAAGGACGCCAATGTGCCTATATGGCCTCCCGCTCAATTTCATGTTCTTATTCCGTCCTATTTGAAAAATAACAGAGAAATCAAGGTTAGAGAAGATACAGTAACAACCGACTGGGTGACTCAGGCTAGGGCTGAGCTCGTTTTCATGTTAGGCAACCCATTCTGGGGTTTAGTTTTTCTAATAGCATCATCCTTCTTTGAAATGGGACAAGGCAGAATACAAAAACAAACCCCGTCCCCTTCTTTTCTTACGTGTATGTAAACAGTGTCAGATTCAATTGGTATGGAACAGAACTATTAAAAGGAATTTAGGAAGGTTTACTTTTTATTTATTTAGTATTGAGCCATAGAGGTAAACAAAGTCAGACTCTAGAAAAGAGAGCACTCTCTCCCATTTTAACAGGCAAATAAACATTTTCTGGTACTTCAAAAACAAGGTCAAGACAAAAATGACCCATCTAACTGAATTTTCACAGGTGTGAATTTTACAGCTGATCTGGAAAACATGGCCAGCTGATGGCGGCATGCGCTGACCGAGGGAGACAAGGACACGTTTGTTCTTCCAGTCCTCTTTACATCGGAGCAGTGGAACACCTGCTTCAGCGTGTGGCCAGTTCTTTAGGGTTTATACCCATCACAATCCCATTCAGGCCCACAAGTCAGACAGATGCCCCCTGGTCAAAAATGCCCTGCCGGTTCCCCAGACCTACCAAGCTTGGCATATATGTGACTAAGAATCCGGCCTGGCTGGACTCGAATCGGATGGATGTCGGCAATGCTCTGGACATTTATTCCATGTTTTCTCAACAGTTCCTTAATGTGACTGTTTTCTGCCAAAACAGTAACTGCGAACAAGCAGACAGACAATCCGCATTAGCCTGTGACACCTGTCACCTCGCAGCACCGTGCACTGTAGTCGCCTCTACTCCCATCCAGTGACCCCTCATCCAGTACATGTCGCCGTGCTCCTATGCACTGGCTGACTTTGGAAATGACACGTTCGTCATGCTCCTCTTCCTGGCTATCTCTGTCCTTGTCACTCAACAGCCAGAGTGCATATCTATCAAGCGCCCTCAACGTGCAAGGCAGTATGGTAAGAGACTTCTAGAAATTCTCTTCACTAGGTCCCAAGGCAAATGATCCTATCTCAAATAATGTCTTGCCTCCCTCTGGTCTATCTTTATTCTAAACCTGTCTGTGTCCTTTTCAGTCAGGAGAGAAATGGCTATGTGGGGGGAGGCCAGGAGATGCCTGTGTCCCTGCTCCCAAAGGACAGGGAGAAAGGAGCAAGGGGGTGGAGACTACTCTCAGGGGAGGCTCTGACTCCAGGGGGAGTGCACCTTTCCTAGAAAAAGAATCGTGGGCCTGCTAGTGTGGAAGTGGGTGATAGGGGGACCACCAGAACCACAGTGCAGGGCCCTGCTGGTGGCCTGAGCCCTGGTTCCTTTGAGTGAAGCTGGATACCTGGTGCTCAGGGGAGCTCTGAGTACCCAGGACCTGGGGGCCATGGTGGACAGAGTGCCAGACCTTCACTTGGGGCCACATCAAGGACCAGCTAGGTCGCACCTCTGCACTTGTAGCTGCCCTTATGAGAAGGGACAGTACTTTGGCAAAGGGAAGGCGTCCCAGGGAGGGCTAGAGAAGGGGTGTACAGCTGCAGAGGGAGGGGTCGGTACCATGTCCAGCTGCAGCAGAGCCTTCTGGGAACAATATGGGCCTGAATGGTGCTCAGGCCAGAGAAAAGAGTCAGCCACTGTGAACGCAGCCCCTGGGTCCCACCAGCATACCCACAGGCTGGCAGAGCCTGAACTGCATACATGGAAACGCCCCTCAGAGCCGAGTCACCTCCTGCTACATGGCTCTTGATGCTTTGAAAGCACTTTCCTATCCATGATCTCATCCGGTCTTCCCACCAAGCCCCCAGGCTAGCCTTGCCTGCTTACCTGGCCAGGTTCAGGGAACCAACCCCAACCTACTCCCCAGGATCCCAGCAAATGGGAACACTGGCCATGTGGGATTGGGTGGGTGGCTTCCCCTAACATCTCTCTCTTCTGAAGCTTTCAGTGACACAGCAATCCACATTTACTAAAACTATCCAGAGGCCACTCTCTGTGGGGCCAATTCTTTCAGAGCTGCGTTGTGGTCTGAGACCTAGGAGCCTTCTGTCTGATACAGCCGTCTGAGGGTACATCTCTGAAACTGCACTGCCCTTCCTCCATGCCAGGCCTCGGGTCATTTCTATTCTATTCTGTCCTAACATAAAAAATGCTGGTCAGGGGACCAGCAGTTGGCATAATGACTATGTTGCTGGATTCCCATGTAGTCGACCATGGTTTGAGTACCGGACCTAGTGGCTTAAACTTACACTGGGCATGTGTGCGTGAATGCCCAAGATCCTGAGAGGAGAATGGAGAAGGGACTGTGGTGTAGCCATCCACCCTGGGGGGTGATTTCTCACTTTCTGTCTCTCTCTGTCTTTCTGGCGAGCATTGACAAAACCCACCAAAAAAAAAAAAAAAAAAAAAAAAAGAAAGTAAAGAAAGAAAGGAAGGAAGGAAGGAAGGAAGATAAATGCTGGTCAGAACCCATAAACGTGTCCTGGCCAGCAGCTGGAAATGTGGTTATGTAGACTGAAGGGCTAATTAGCAGCATGTGAGCATGTGCTCTGGGTAAGCCCAGGGACCATGGAGTGTGGCTGGATTATTCTACCTGGATGTCAGAGATGGGGTCATGCCTTCAGCTGTGGGTCCTTGGGTGAGTGAGTAGGCAAGCCTCGAAGCCTTACATGTAAGCAGAGATGATAATCATAATCATTACGCGTTTTGCCTAATCCGTGTTGTGGCAGCTAGGTCTGTAGCTGGCCTGTCACACTGTATTGATCAGTATGAACCCGGGGATGAGCTGCAGTTTGCCTCATGGCATCAGGGGCAGGTGCAGTGAAATGAGCCAGTGGCCATAAAGAGGAATGCTCTCCCTTTGTTCAAGCACTGTTTTCTAAGAAGTATACAGCTGGAGCCAGCAGGTGGCATAATAATTAACCACTGGACTCCCACATGGCCAACTGTGGTTCGAGTCTGGGACCCAATGACTTGAAACTCACACCAGGTGCATATGTATGCATGACCAAAATCCTAAGAGGAAGATGGAGTAGGAGGAGGGACTGTGGCATAGCCACCCCATTAGGGGGTGATTTATCTCTCTCTCTCTCTCTCTCATGCTATAGGCACGCATCCTATAGCAAAAATCTCTCTCTCTCTCTAAAAAAATAAAAAAATAAATAAAAAGAAAGAAAGAAAGAAAGAAAGAAAGAAAGAAAGAAAGAAAGAGGTGTATAGTCTAGGGCTGGCCCTGCAACGCAGCAGTAAGTGCTACACAGAGGAAGCTGGATCCCACATGGCCAACCAGGGCTCAAGTTCCAGTCCTGGCAGCTTGAAAAATACACCAGGCATGTTGTGTGTGTGCATGATGTCCAAAATCCCGACAGGATGGAGAAATGGAAAAGAAGTTGTGACGTGACTACAGCCCACTGGGAGGTGCTTTCTCTCACCGGCACAGACACCCTCTGGCAAAGGAGAAGATGGAAGAGATAGAGAAAACAATGATGAAGCAGAAACAGCAGTCATAGTGTACGGTCTAATTTAGGGGCAACATGGTGCACATGACACGCATACGAGTGTTCTGCGAGGTATGCAAAGTTACAGAGCTGGCAGGAGCACCCCACGAGAGGGAAGGGAGGAAGAGGAGCTGCTGCAGTGGTGCACACCATAGCCAGGCGCTGCACTGCAAGCCTTCCTCATAGGGAGGAAGTTGCAGTCCGTCTCAAGGCAACCTGGTCTGGGAACATGGGCCCTAACGACCACAACATACAGAGAAGGAGAGCCTGAAAGACAGCAGCAGCCTAGGCTGGTCTCCCAACGTCTGGAAGGGGAGCTGGCTAGAGAAGAGGGATAGGAAGGTGGAGACAGGCAAAAGGTGGCGGGACAGCAAACCTCCAAGGGCAGGAGAATGACCCTCACTTGGGCTCATGCTTTATCTGTTCAGAGAATGACAGTCATGAGAAACAATACTCAGTGGACCACTGGGTCCCCAGTTGGAATCAAGGGTTAGATTCAAGAAAACGATTGCTTTGTAGAAAGGCTATTTGTGGTTGGGAAGAACACTGCTGCCTTTAGGAGCTACTGAGTTATATGAGATATCTTACAGAACTGAAATGCGAAAGTTCTCACTCACACACCTCTTTTGGGGGGGCAGAGGGTGTATGTGCTCACTGGAGAGAGAAAGGGGGGGAGAAAGCACCTCCATGAGGCATGATCATGCCGCGACCCCCTCTCCTCCATTTCTCCCTCCCTTCGGGATTCTGGGCACTCACATGCATTTCTTAAGAAGCCTCTGACCATGCAGTTGGCCTTGTGGGATCCAGCTCCTTTAACTCCAGGCTATGTGCTCCCCCACCCCCTTGGTTTTTTTTTTTTTTTTTTAATTAAATATGAAACCTGAGAACAATATGAATTAAAAATAACATTAGTTTTACAAAGATAAATATGATTATTAAACATGCCACAAACCTTGGACTACAACATCAGGTTTGACTGAAGTGGAAAATCTCCTATTTAAGGGATCAATTTCACCCGTAGCAAGGAATCCCTATGAAAAGAGGAGCATTAACACTATAAAACACTGATTAATTAAAATTTCACCTTAACCCCAAGTTTGAAAATGAAATGTATAGTTTGTATGTTGTCCACATAAAAATGTAGATCTTTATAATTTTTTTTTAAATATTGAAATTTAAAACAAAAGAAAATGAAAATTTGGGGGAGGGGTCTCAAAATATTTAATATTTTTACTTCGTATTTTGAGCCAATCGTTTATTTTCCGAGAAACACAGTACAATACTCAAATGTCCATTTATAAATGGATTGCATTTTGGGCACTTAGCTCTGGGAGATGGTTAAACACACCGCCATTTGTGTGGCTGTAAAGAGTGGTAACTAAAATTTCCTGAACGTTCATGTACAGTTACACCGGGCCCGTAACAGGTAGCCACTACCATTATTACCATTTTATAGGTGGGGAAACTGAGGTACCACACCTAAGGGAAGTGGCAGAGCGGGCACTTGGCCCAGGGCTGACTGTTCTAAAACATAAAGTTCCCCCACCTTGCAAAAGTGTGCTCTTTGAATAGGCCTCTCCTTACACTTCCTGTAAACTCGAGGGGATCAAGGTATCCTGGGGGCTCTGAGGAGGAAGTAGACCTCATTCTGGGCCCATTGGGGAGGAGGAAGCAGGGGAGTAGAGTTACTCATTTCCCATCTCAGGAATCAGAGCTGGAAAGTATTGCAGGGATAATCAAGTCCAATCTCTTCACTGTATAGATGAAGAAACTGAAGCCCAGAGAGGTAACAAACGTGTCCAAAGTCACAGAGCCGTCTAAACAGACAGGGCTAGCTTTCCAAAGGAGATATATGCATTTCCCTACTAACTAGGAAACACACTCCTTATCCCCGTGGGCATGGCCTTGAAAATGGAGTGACTAGGCATACCCACGAGACAACTGCTCTGCCCCAGCAACTCCAGCTCCACAGGGCTGCTGGCACTGGGCCATCTTTAACTGAGGCCTTCCTTACAAACTGTGAGCCCAGCAGCACCCTTCCCCAGCGCTCTCTCCCCCATTTCTAGTCTGGGCCGGCCTGGGAGGCCCTTTCTCCACACCCCTCCCCCTGCCAGGGGCCCAGAGGGTTCAGCTAGGCAAGACCCTCCTTGGTAGAGGCATTCACATCTAGGATAGGACTCATTCTGAGGCAGCTCAGAAGAGCTATATTTTGAAACAAAAGCCTGGGGTCAAGTAAATGTCTAAGGAGTGTGTGAGTGTGTGTGTGTGTGTGTGTGTGTGTGTGTGTGTGTGTAGGGCAGTAGTCTGAGAAAACACCTACCCCAATAGTCACTGGAACACTGGCCTGCTGCCTCTTTGTGTGGAGAGATCTAGAGTCCATCTGCTTCCCATGTCCAGGGCAGGGGCATAGGCAGGTCAAAGCCCAATGGGAGTTTCCCAAATCCTGCATCTTCCAGAATCAGATGTGCTAACCCTGGCTGAACAGTATTCAGCTCCTGCTCACAAGTTCTAGCCTCAGACCAGGATGCTGGCAGGAGGGGACCCAAACTGCTCTGATGTGAATATGGGCACACAGGCCAGGAGCCAAGCCTGGGAGCTGGCATGAAGATGCAAAAGACTTCCATGCCGGTACCAGGTGGGGTGCCCCAGTGCTCTTCTGGGTTTACCTGATCCCCCAATCAAATGGGTGCCAGCCTGTGAAGCCCCCCAGCCCCTACCTCTGCCAACAGCGAGCTGAGGATGTATAAGGACTGGCCCCAGAGATGAGGCAGCTTCCCCAGAGGCACTCTGTCCACCGTGTGAGGGCTCTTGTACTCCTCGTCTACCTGGCAAAGGGAGAAAAACCCGAAGTCAGAATGTCACTGTCAGAGGATAAGAAGGCCGAAGGCACGGTATGCTGGGGCGGGGGCGTTAAGGAGTCACACAACAGCGCACATGCTCCAGACCAGTCCTGTGCAAGATGAGGAATCGGATGAAGCGTGTGGCTCTAAGCAGCAGAGGTGGAATCCAAATCTAGGCCTGCTTCCAGGCCAGCGCTTTCCCTCTAGGCACGCTCCAGGCAACAGGCCCTGGGAGCCTGGCCTGCCTTCTTCGTGAACAGCTCTGAACAAAACGAATGTTCACAGCTCGTGCTTCCATTTGGCGGGATCATGGGGAAAATGATCTGAAACATCAGCTTACAATGCGGCTGGATGTCGTGTTGGGTTTCTTCTGGCCCATCCCCAGGGGTTTATAAACTGTGCGGCTATGCAAGGAAATTACCAGAAGGTGGCACTATTTATCGAGGAAAGACAACTGTACTACCAGATCACTAACCCTCCATCAAGGTCTCGCAAAGCTGAATCCACTGAGGGCTTTGTCTCACCAAAGTAAACTTCAGTGCTCCTCCACATGGACAGCGCTGATCACCCCGTAAGTCAGCGACTTCCTCCTACAATCTACTCTTTGAGTTTGCAGTCACTACAACACTGGTTGGGGTAATGTCAGCAACCACTTTTTCCCTCCAGAATATGTAAGTTAATGAAAGGAAATAGGAAACACTCATTCTTCTCCAAAGGGGAAAACCACCCCATGAGGGGAGTCACTCTCTGGATTAACCAGTGATATTACCCTTTCATTCATTTATTCATTCATTTTACTATGATAGAGAATGTGTGTTGGGGGGACAGAGGAGATTTTTGACAGGATCTTACCCCACTGCAATCCTCCTGCCCCAGCCTCCTGGTTAGCTAGGACCACAGGCATGTGTCACTGTGCCCACTTAGAGTGGGCTGGGAACTGAACATGGGCTTCCTGAGTGGCTTCAGCCACCATGCAGTGGCACCCTGCTGCTATGCCACTGCAGCTGGGTCAGCGATATTATTAATATACAGTTACACATTGCCTGATGATGGATACATTCTGAAAAATGTGCTCTGAGGTAATTTCGTCATTGTGCAAACACACCAGGGTGTGCTTATGCAAACTGTGATGGTATGGCCTATCACACACCTACACTATACGGTATCCCGTAATAATCTTATGGGAACACTGTCGTACATGTGGTCAGATGTTGACCGAAATGTCATTATGTAGCACATGTCTGTATTTTGTAAAATTTAGTTTTTTCAGTAGTAGTAGGGGACCAGCAGTTAGTGTAATGGCTATGTTGCTGGACTCCCACGTAGTCAACCACGGTTCGAGTCCCAGACCCGGTGGCTTAAACTCATGCCAGGCGCATGTGCATGCGTGCCCAGGATCCCTAGAGGAGAATGGAGGAGAAGGGATTGCAGTGTGGCCATCCCCCCTGGAGGGTGATTTCTCGCTTTCTATCTCTCTGTCTCTGTCTGGCGAGCGCACTCACCCTATAGCAAAAACCTTTCCAAAAAAAAAAAAAAAAAAGAATTTTCTGAGTAAGAAAACCTTACATACAAAAACTAGAGTGAATTCAATGTCACTGGTAATCAAATAATTAAACAAAATAATCATGTGGGAGGAAAGTTGCCACAGTATCATAACCATTATCTTTGGGTAATCAGATTAGAGAAAATATTTTCTTCTTCCACAGAATGCTGGCTGTTTTGTAGCAGGTGGGATTACTTCTCCGATCATGTAGTATGTTAAAGCTATTTGAAATGTAAGTAGTGTTAATAAAGACCTCAAGGATCTACAATGAAAAACATTCACTGTAAAGACCAGAAATGCCACAGTATCATAGCCATTATCTTTGGGTAATCAGATTAGAGAAAATATTTTCTTCTTCCACAGAATGCTGGCTGTTTTGTAGCAGGTGGGATTACTTCTCCGATCATGTAGTATGTTAAAGCTATTTGAAATGTAAGTAGTGTTAATAAAGACCTCAAGGATCTACAATGAAAAACATTCACTGTAAAGACCAGAAAGCAGACAAGGTGTCTGCATCAGAAGACAGCCTTGCTCAGCCTTCCTCCCACCCAGGGGCCTATTCCCGCCTCTGTGCCCACCCCCTCCACTCCAGTCCTTCTGAACTGTTTGCAGGGCCTCAAATGTACCATGTCTTTGCTGGGCCACTCCTGTGTCTGCCGTCCACCTTGTCGACTGGCTCCTCTAGCCCCACTGGCCTGCGAGCTCGCAGTAACCAGCTTGCCCCAGGACTGAGGCTGGTGCCTGAAGTGGAGCAGCTGCTCAGTACATGTTTGCCAGGCCTTTGTCTCCAGCTGCCCAATGGGGACCCTTGGAAGAGAGTACCCTGCAGAAGCATGTCTGGCTGAGAAAATGAGTGAGGCTATAATCCAAGCTGTATGCCATCCAGACCTGGGGCTGCAGCCACTCAAAGAATGAGGCCCTTTTTCTGAACTGCACAAAGGTGCCTGATGGGCCTGGGGTGGCCCTGTCTACAAGAACCCTTCCCAGTGGTCTCTACATGTTAGTCATGTGACAGGTCCATCTTCACAGCTGTCATCTGGAAGCAGCCAACACAAAAAGCAGTTGTTATGAAATTGCGTCTAAAATTAATGCCTAGTAGGGAACCAGCAGTTAGCGTAATGGCTATGTCGCTGGACTCCCACGTAGTCGACCGTGGTTCGTGTCCCGGACCCGGTGGCTTAAAACTCACGCCGGGCGCGTGTGCGTGCGTGCCCAAGATCCCGAGAGGAGAATGGAGGAGAAGGGATTGCGGCGTGACCATCCCCCCTGGGGGGTGATTTCTCGCTTTCTGTCTCTATGTCTCTCTCTGTCTGTCTGGCGAGCGCACGTGCCCTACAGTGAAAATCTCTCTCAAAAAAAAATTAATGCCTAGTACATAAACGCCAAAAAAGGAGGATATTGTCATAAACAGAAACCCAAAGGTCACTGCGGGGTTTACAAAAGAGAAAGTGGCACAGTAACTTTTTACGATGTGCAGCCAGACACAATAGTGTAGAATGCAACACTTAGTAGTTACTAGAGTCAGTAAAACATGATTTTTGGTAACAGGCAGTTACTTTCCTACCATAAAATAGGTAAACTAGCACTGAAGTCATTTCTGTCCCCTTGCTGTGCTTCCGAGTTCCAAATGACCTCCCTTTACTAATTTGGGTTTGCCAAGTGCTTTCATACTGGAAAAGGAGCACCAAAAGAGGTATTTAATGAACATGGAGTTGCTGGAAAGTAACCCGGCCCTGCGCTCAGCCCTGCCCCCACCTGCCGTCCATCCACCTCACACCTAGAAAAGTGAGTCCACTTGCAGAAGATCCAGTTTTATGGCACGTGGAGAGAAAACAGCCCTGGCAGGCTCCTCAGCCCAATCTGTGAGGTGGGGGAAGGCCAGTTCTTGTCCAAAGTCTTGCCCTTAACTCTTAGATGAAATCAGTCCTGAGAGAGTGCTGTCTGTTCATGCAGGGGTGATAGAGCCATCAAGATCCCAGGATTCAGAGCCAGGCAGTACTACAAAAGCAAAGCATGAGGCTCTGCAAGGCACATGGGAAGGTTCCTGGTTCAAAGTCAGAGACCTCCCTGAGTGCACTGGGCACATCCTGAGTACAGTGAACACATGCTTCCCTGTGATCCGGGCTGGCAGAGGTTGGGGATAGATCACAGCACTGGGACCCTGTTGGGGGTGCACTCTCTTGCTTGCTCATGAAAGAAACTGAAAAAAATTCCATAGCTCAAGGCCAAGGGCCCAGGCTGGCAGAGTTCAGTGAGACCATTTGGTAGGATCCAGCCACCTTAAGGGGCAGCCCCAAGAACGTGGGAGTTAATTGGCTGGATGGCTGAGCTGTTATAATAAATGCAAAAGAATTAAATGCTCCTAGCAATGGAATATCCTATTGGGTTGTTGGGAAAGTCATGACATTATTTTCTATGTTTTTTGATGCAAAAATGCATCATGACTTTTCCAACGACCCAACAGTTCCTTCTAGATTATATAATGCCCAAAGTAATAATCAGTAGTTCTTTTTTGCCTTAAGGATCAAGTATCAGACTCCTTTACGGATTCTTTTCTATGATAAAGTAAAGGAAAGGTCACTATAGCATTGCTTTCTGAAGTCCAGCAAGAGCATTTGCTTTGTTCCATTATCTGGAAACATATTGCTCATCAGAAAGCAGTGTGGGCTTGTAGGGAGGCCCTGAACCTGGGGCCCTGGGACACAGCTCAGTGCTGTGTTCTGACAGGTTCATAGCCTCTCTGAGCTGAAGCAGATTATTCCACAGGCCCTGTGTGTGTGGGCCTGATTCAACCACAGAACCTCTAAACCCGAGCTGCTGGATAACAGGCTTTTGCTGGGTTATGATCATCTCCAGGCCCCTGTGGTTACAGGAAGACATGGCTTGCTGAAGGCCTTTTCATACCGCAGATGCAGTCATGAAGTGTGGAAGCACCCAAAGAACAAATAACCTTGATTTGTGAATTATTTTCTTCTAAACATGATGTGCCTACAGGGTAATCTTCCCGCCAAGACACAATGGTCCATCACGGCCTCGTTTAGGAGACTGGGTAGAACAAAACTCATTGGGCTTCTTCTTAGAACTGGACAGTTGCTCTCTGTCTACTACACAATGGCTTCTGATTACTCAGACTCCACTTGGGAACTTCTTGAATCAAAGGAAGAGACTCTCAACTGTCCCCACATATCAGGCTACTTCTGAAGCAGATATAGGCATGTCTGTGCTCCTTGGAGTTCCTAACGCCTGGGGTGGACCAATATCCTTTCAAGGTCTTCAACTGCTGCTTCCCTGGGACACCCACTGTCAAACATGTTCTACATGTTTTCCCAAAGCCATAACTCCTTGTAATCAGTAGGAGTATTAGCTAAGTCCCTAGAAACCACTTCTCCTGCAGAAAAAGTTTGGGACCAGCAGTCAGTGCACTGGCTATGTCACTGGACTACCACGTAGTCAACCGCTGTTCAAGTCCCGGACCTGGTGGCTTTAACTCACGCCGGGCGCATGTGCATGCATACCCAAAATCCTGAGAGGAGAAAGGAGGAGAAGGGATTGTGGCATGGCCATCCCCCCCTGGGGGGTGATTTCTCGCTTTCTGTCTCTCTGGAGAGCACATGTGCCCTATAGCAAAAAACTCTCAAAAACAAACAAACAAACAAACAAAACCAAAAAAAGTTTGTCAGTTCTGGCAGAGGAATGAAGAAGACCAACACCTACTCACTTAGTTCTAGACAAGCAGCATAACAGGCTCTACCCCCTGGTTACCTTGTCAGGTGGGATGGCATAGAGTTCTGGCACAAGCTTGATCCCGTTCTTGCCTCTGATTAGAATTCCTTCCAGGGCCTCTCGGTACTCCTGGACCTGGAAAATAGCCCCATGGCCCACTGAGTGAAAGAGCTTTGGTCTGCATAACACAGAAAACCAGATTCCCCCCCACACACACACCACTTTTTTCTCTTACTTTTTTGGAGAGATTTTTGCTATAGGATGTATGTGCTCACCAGAGACAGAGAGAAACAGAGACACAGAAAGCAAGAAATCACCCCCCCCCGGGGGGGATGACAATGCCCCAATCCCTTCTCTTCTGTTCTCCTCTTGGGATTTTGGGTACGCACACACATGCGTCTGGTGTGAGTTTCAAGCCCTCCAGGTCCAAGACTCGAACCGCAGTTGACTGTGTCAGAGTCCAGTGATGTAACCGTTACAGCATCTGCTGGTTCAGAAAACCAGTTTTCTTAACAATAGACAGATTAGGACTCAGATGTGGGACAGAGAAAGGCACAAATAGTACCAGCCCCGTGAAGACAGGAGGGACTCCCGCTGACAGCAAATGTTAGAAAGAGCTATTGTGGGCTGTTCCTCTCTCGCATGTGTCTAAACTCAGCCCCACCCATCACACTTCCAGGGAGACGGACAGAGCACTGGGTCAGGTCATGTAGCAGCTGCTGCTTCTTGGAATTCCATACCATGCATCAGTCATCCATCCTGCACTGCCTTTAATTCACATTTTAAATATCTCACCCTTAACTTCTAACACATTCACATTTTGTCTTACTAACCAGATTATAGGCTTTTTGGAGTAGAAGTCATAGGGTTTTTTTTTTTTTTTTTTTTTTTTTTTTTTCTTTACAG